GGTGCTTTACAGTCGCTCCGCTGAGTCCCCTTTTCTCCCTTCCGCACTCACTTGGGCTGGTGCACGCTCACCCGGTGCCTTGGCCCTCCCTCCTCCAACCTCCAATTCTTCCCCTTCTGTTACACGGTTTCATCACCAGTTGCCGCCACCCTGCTTCTTGTGGGTAACTTACAGACCTGCTAAGCAAAAAGACTGAGTGTCCTTGACGTCTTGATGCCCAGTCTTTCTGGAAGGACTCGGACACCTGTCTTCTCCTGCTCTGGTTACCCACATTGTGTTTATGCGTTTTCCCATGTGGTCCTTGAAGTGCAGGCCAATGGGCGGAGCCTATCTGCGGGGAGTCCTCGCTGGCATTTCCCTGAGCTTTCAGGGGAATGGGGATCAGGGGAGAGGGGACAGGGGCCAGGGAGTAGAGAGACAGGGAGTGAGTGGGAGTGAGGATGGACAGACAGCTGCTTGAGGAAGTTTGCCTATGGTGGGAAGAGAGGATGGGGCTTGGGAGTGGGATGAGGGCCAAGGGGATCAGCTTAAATAAGACAGAAGACACCATGGCAGGCGCAGGTGCTGATGGGAAGGTAGAGGCAGAGGAGGAGCCCCAGGATGTGGTGAGGTCACAGGGGCCAGGGCAGCAGAGGAGGGTTGAGGCCCAACAGGGGACACAAGTGACCGGGGAAGGCATAGGGAGGGACAGGCTGGTTGCTGGTATGAGGGTCAGGGGAGGTGGGGTGGACAGTGACCTCCTGCCAGGATGGAACTGTCCAGCTAGGGGTGCTGCTGGTGGCGGCCGCTGCTTACTTCCCCATGCGTCCTGGAGCCTGCATTCAAGTCTGACCTGCTAGGTTACCCCGGGCTCCTGTCCCTCCCAGGGCTCTGTTGGATCCGGTTCAGGCTGGTGTTCTTATTAAATCCGTAGGACATTTGCAAACCAGAGGTGGAGTCATTGGTGCCTTGAAACTGGTGGCCGGTGTTTACACTATAGCAAATGGAGCATCTACAGACTGGGCCTCTGCAGCCGCAGCTCACAGTGCCCGGCTACGTTCAACCCCTGGGCCCCACCTGGCCCTGGTTGGTGCCCTGCTCTCTCCCCCTCCAGTGTCTGTGATGGCCCTGCTGACCTCTGCCCCAGCTTCTTGTAGACCTCAGTCTGGAGTGGAGGGCATGGGTGACCATGGCTGGGGCCCGGGTGCCCGATTGCTGGTGGTGCTGTGCTGTGCACGGTTTTCTCTGGGGACGCGCCATTGCGCTGTGCTCACTGGTGGGTCTAGCAAATGCTGGCTTTATTTATCTCTGTGCCTGCACAGCGGCAGAAGAGAGAGTTTCCCCGCGCCACCTCATCCCTCCAGCCCCACAAAATACTGCAAAGAAGGAGAGGCTGAGGATCGGGACACCCGCAGAGCTGGCTTCCAGGAGGGGTCGTCTTCCGTCTGTTCTTCCACAGAGGTCCCATGAGTCTTCCCAAGCTCCCTTGGCCATGCTGCTCACAGAAGCCCCGGCCAACATGAAAACTGGAGGAATCTAGAACTCAGGACACACAGGTTCACAAGTCTGCAGGCCAGGGGCCAGGACGGAGAGCAAAGTGCTATGAATGTGGGGTTGCATGTGGGTTTGCTGTCAGCCTCGTATCCTTGGGGGCCTATAAAGTCATCAGGCTTCCAAGTTCTTTGTGAAGGATTAAATGTGACATGTATGTCAGGGGTCTGGCATGTGGTGGGATCTCAAAAACTGTCCCCCGAAGGGGCAGCAGGGGACTGCAAAGATCGGCTGCAGATTCAGTATTTCCTTCCGTGGGGGAGCCTTCCTGAACCCTGGCTTCTGACAGTTCTGACGGTGGCCAAGGTCTCCGCAATTCCACTCCACCACTCCAGGAAGAGCTCATTTCGTGGTGTGACGATCCAGGCAGGAGTTGAGCTGGGAAGCAGGAATTAAAAGCAGCAGTGTAGCTGAGCAGGGTGGAGCATGCCTGTAACCCTAGCATTCTGGGAGGCTGAGGCGGGCGGATGGGCAAGTTGGAGTCCAGCCTGAACAATTTAGCAAGAATCTGCCTCAAAAAGATAAGTTAATTATTAAAGAAGAGTTAGGGATAGAGCTCAATGTGAAGATTTAGGTTCAACCCCCAGTACAAAACTAACTAAATAAACACATAAATGACAGCAGTGTATACTGAGTGACCATCAGAATTCCAGGGGGAAAAGCAGTCTTGAGCAGTGGCCGCTGCCAATTTCTGCAGTGTGAATATCTCCTCGCTATGGCTAGTTTCAGGCTGCTAATGGTTTATTTCATGGCTTGAAAATTTCCTAAACACTTGATAATTAGCATCCACATTAGCTGGACCCAGAGGACCCTGAGAAAAGACCCTCGTATGACAGACCTTGCAGCGAGGTTTGCAGAGTGGCTGCAGGAACACACACAGGAAACAGCAAGAACCACACATCTCAGTCCTTCTAGAGCTGCAAGATGCAGGGCAGAGGACGGTGCCCTTGGTCCCTGTGCTCCTTCCTCCTGCCCTTCTCCCAGAGTTGTTCCATTTTCTCTCCCCTCCCTCTCCTCTCCCTCTCACCTTCCTTCCCTCTTTTTTTTCTCTCTCTCCTCATCTCTTTGCCCCTAGGAGCCCTCTTTCTCCCCCTTCCTCCATTTCGCCTCCTAAACTTGTAGAGGGCTCCCAGGGGCACTGCTCAATCCTTAGTAGTTATCATGGTGTAAGAAATCACTCAGCTGGGCGTGGTGGTAACCTCAGCACTTTGAGAGGCTGAGGCAGGAGAATTCCTACTTTGAGCCCAGCCTTGGCAACTTAGAAACTTGGCTACACACTGTTTCAAAGAATTAAAAGGGAGAGTGAAGCTCAGGAAGAATGTCCTGAGGTCATTTTCCAAAAGACAGGGGGAGAGAGAGAGGGAGAGAGAGAAACATTGGCTCATTCTCATTTAAAAAAATTTTTTTTTGCACTGCTTTTCAGCCTGTAGAACACAGGGTTGCTTCCAATTTACCAGCAATTGTGTTGCAACAAGAAGATGTCTGTGGGCTGGGGGCTAAGGAATCAGGAATTCACACACACACACATGAGCGTGCACGCACACCCACGCACATGCATGCACACACATGCACATGGTTTGGGCTTGGGCAGTCAGAATCCCAGTGGGTCAGGGATCAACCTGGGACTCTGCAGGTCATGGCAGAGGGGCAGAGAAGAACCCAGACAGGTGTTTAAGTACTTGATGGACGCGAGCTTCACCGAGCTGGGTGAGGGAGATCCCCAGGTAATTAGGAGCCACAGGGCCCAGGTGGCCTGCAGCACACATGCTGGGTCGCTTTGGTCCCAGGCTGGTCTCATCCCCTCCTTGTTTCCTGTTGTGGGGAGAAAGAAGGGGATGGATGTGTGGTGCCAGGCCTGAGGGGACATGTGGGTGCGACCCACTGACCAAATGACAGGCTTCGAGGCCTTCTCCCCACAGACTTTTCCGATGGCAGTGAGTGCCATGCTTGTGGCAGGCACGACACCTCTGCCTCATACTGGTGGGGACGTGTGCTTGGGCCTGCACTGTCAAAGTTGGAAGCGGGGTGTGTGGAGCCCCCACACTTCCTGCTTAGCTGGGCTCCCCCATGCCCACCATGCTGCATGCAAAGGCTTCCCTTTATTTACTGATTTGACTGTTGGAAGTTGCAGTTTGTTTAATTGTTCATGCTTTCTTTATTCCTTGGAAGCACAGAATCAAATAGCAGCTCGTTCCTAAAAATACATACGCTATGGCACCCTGTTATTTATAACTCACTCTTGGCCTCGTCCTGTGTTTCTCTCTTACGTGGTCTTCAGTCTAATTTCTGCCCTTATTTTCCTAATCTCCCTGCATAGATAATCCACCTCAATTTCTTCAGAAATCAGATTTATAATTTAATAAGCGATCCCTATTTTAAATTGAATTAATGTACATGGGGAGACCATAGGTTGGTTTGCAAATCCATGCATGAAATGTGACCCAATAACCCTGGGCCCTAAGGGCTGTATGTGTTTATATATTAAAAAAAGAAAAAAAGAGAGACCAGCTCCAGTCCTCTAGGAGAGTTTAGTCTCAAGGCGTTGGCGAAAGAGATTCAAGTCAACAGAACCGAGCTCATAGGGGAGTCATCAGTGGAGAGGTTTTGCTTGGTTCTCAGCCATTTCAAGGCACTGCTGAGTATATGTCACACACAGGAAGCTGGGATATCTCCTGTAGGACCGTGCTGCTTGGCATGTAGTTCACAGGGAAACAGCAAGGAGCAGCTTGCAGGGCCAGGGCACCGATGGGCGGGACACAGCTCAGGACTCGGGCTGGCTAGGCCAGCAGGATTAGAGCAGAGCAGTGCAGAGCCTTGTACTCTTTCTGGAAGACATGGATCTCAGCCCTTGGTCTTTGAACGCCTCCAACATTCTCATCCTTATCCATCATGGTGGGTTTTGTTTTAGCAGAAGGGTGCGTGTTTACTCCTGAACCTGCTCAAGACTCCCAGACACCTCTGTGTGGACTGCACAGCTTTCTCCTGCTGCCTTCCCCTGCCCGCATCACCTCTTCTGAAAAGATCTGGGCCAGATGGCATGGGGGCCAGTGGGCACCCTCACCCGTCCTCCCCAGGCAGTGCGGCTCTTCCAACCCCAGATGCACACAGCCTTGGGCTCCACCCACCCAGCCACCCAGCACTGCCACCAGCATGTCCAAGTTGGGGGATGGTGTGGGGTGGCTGTGTCTCCAGGCCCCTCTACCTTGTCGCCTGTACTGTTTGAAGCTGCCGGCTGCTGTTTTAACCCAATGTCCCTGCTCTGGAAGAGTGGGCTGCTGTTGTCCCTGAGGAATGTAGGATATTTTTAGTGGGGACCCTGGTTGGGGCAGGCCATGCCCAGTTTGACAAGATCAGTAGGCCCTGCTGAGAGACTCAGAGGAAAGGGAGGTGGGTGGGGAGGGAACAAGGAGCCTCTGGTTCCGTGGAATCCTGGCCTTTTCTTTTTAATCCTGTCCCCCATTCCTTCTCAGAAGCTGGCTGTTTGGTGACCTGAGGGTTGACTCCAGGAACGGAGAGGGAAGGAAGACCACAGAGAAACCCTGACTCACAGAAACCACATTGACGGGGCCTGACAGAAGCGAGCAGGTGGAAAGGGATGCAATCTCGAAACTTTCCTGTTGGTCTTGCAGTTATTTGTAATTCCAAGGAAGGCCTGGATGGACTACGGCCACCCATGTATTCTTCCATCTGCTAAGAACTATAACCATTTGCAATTTTTGGTGGGGAGATTTTCATATCCACCAGACTCCCTCTCCAGTTCTGTCGGTGTCGCTCCCGGCCGGCAGGAAGAACACACGACAAATTCTGACGGTGAGCAACCTTGTCTTTATTTGTCTCCGCGTGGGCCGCACGAGGCCTCTGCTCTGCCACCAGTCCTTTCTCACCGGTGGACTTTCTCTATCTCTCTCTGTGCTTCTCTCTCGTGGCGGGAGAGGCACTCATTTTTATAGGGTAACAGTGGCCAATCAGTTCAAAGCGCGCAATGCGGGCTGATTGGCTAACATCAGTTGTTGCTAGGCAGACTATCTTACAGAGCGGGTTGTTTAAGTCGCCAGGGCAATCAGGGGGCAGGAAGCAGGCGCCAACTTGGCTCACTCGATGGGAGGGGTAATCTAGCTCAGGCTTTGCTCTTTCTTACAGGCCTCACGTCCGCCAAGTAAGGCGACCGGGCTCGGCCGCGGCTCCCAACACAGGTCCCCATCAGAGGGAGACACACTGAATCCCAGAGGGACTAAGTGACTTCGTGCCCAAGATCACACAAATTAACAGAAGCCTTGAGCCTGGAAGGAACAGCAAAGGTCATATTTTTCTACACGTCTGTGGTCTACCTGTCATTCTTACTTTAATTTGATCATGAGCACAGAGCAGGAGGGGTAGGGTCAGGGCCACACTTAGAGTCTAGGACCTGTGACACTTTCATTCTTGGGTACTTTTTGCAGGTTTCCTCTGCTTGAAGGGGTTGTCGTTTATTGAGCACCTATGACACAGAAGATACTGTGGTGGGCACACGCACATGGGTATCTCTGAAGCAACACCAGCCTGTCGGGATGGCCCCCAACTCACCTTTCCAGTTTGAAGGCTGAGATCGCACTGAGCGCTCACGAGTTTTTCTTGAAATCAAATGACAAGTCTGTCTGCCATGGGGTCCCATCCCTATGGTACAGTGGGCACTGTTTTTCAGAGTTGTGTCCTCTTGCAGGGTGGCTTAGCTTGGAACCTGAGGCAAGAAAGACTGAAGGGCCAGAAGTCACTAATAAGTGAAATGCACAGCCCCCCAAGTCTCTCCAGAAGTCTCCCCTCCCCCGAAGTCTCCCCCTCTTGGAAATCTCTCATCTAACCCTCCCCCTCTTCTCCCATGAACCCCACAGCTTTGCCTTAGAGCTAGGGGAGGGGAAGACAAGGGCTCCAGGTGACCTGGGCAGCCCAGTCACCCCAGTTTGTGTCCAGGCACCAGTGCTGACACAGTTGCCGCTCAGGACCACCCTGGAGGTGGCTGAGTCCTGAGAGCGAGGCCCAGACCTCCCTGAGCTCTCTGATGAAACCAGCCTCTGCTTTAGCTGAGCCAGCTTCTCTAGATTACCGCTCACGGAGACCAAAATGCCATTTAAAATATGGAAGATCCTGATGCTTGGGGTGAGCCTGGGAGTGACGAGGGGAGCTGAGGACCTCATGTTTTTCTGGTACCGTGGTTCTGGGTTAGGCAGGAGGAGACCTCAAGTTCCATGGAATGCACTGCTGGATCTGGGTGCCTGCGTTCTCCGAGAACTCATCAGGTCTCTGTCCTTATCTGAGAAGTTGGCAGTGATCACAGGTTTGGAAGCCATCCTGTGTTCCAGAACAGACCCTAGGGCTATTAAAATACACTTGGAACATTAAAAATATCCGAAGAAATGTAAATTCAACAAAACAAAACAAAACATTGAGTAGCTTCTGTTTGTCCCCGTGTCCTCTGGTCACCCTTTGCAATTCTGCTCTCTATCACAGCAGGGGGAATAAAGTGGGCATCTGGGGAGGTGGGGGGCTGGTGGGGCCATCTGGGGCATTTTCCTCTGCCTCTGTCTGCCTCTTTTCTTGCAGACACCTTCTCCTCTCTCCCTCAGGGCTCAGGCAGTAACAATCTCTCTGTGCCCAGCACTGGACACTACATGGACCCCTCGGGATTTCCTCTGTCTTGCTCACTCCTTAAACTGCTTCCCACATGCGACCTGAGCAACTTTCCCGATTTGGGAGCTTGCTTGTCTCCTGGGTCATGCTCCCCCAGCCACGCATCGCGAGTGTGTGGCTATCGTGACTGTTTTTACCTCTTCATCCTTCTTCCCTCCTTCTCCCCCTTCTTCCTTCCCTTCCTTCATTCCATGGAGATCTGTTGAGTCCCTGCTATGGGGGCCAAGAAGGGACATCTGCCCTGGTTAACTCTTCTCGGGCTGCCCAGCTGGTCAGGGTAGGTGACTTGGGTGCTGCACCCCGGAGTTGAGAGGAATCTGACATCACAAGGACGGGGTCACCTCGCTAGGCGGAAAGGGAGAACACCTGCCCGGAGCCACTTGGGAAGTGGCCCATCCCGGCTGAGGGTCTCCTGTTCTCCTTTCCTGGCCTGCTGATCCTTTGCTCCTTTTCTTCTCAAGCTGCTCAGTGCAATTCAGTTCCTTTTCTGCCAGGCAAAGTTTCTGTTTGAACAAAAGCCTCCCTGGAACGGCGGAAGGCGGGGGGCGCTCTGCACCCTAAAACAATGGGGTGAGGACAGACAGTGATGAGGGGGTTAGAGACACAAATGCTGCCTTTCAAGTCATGGCCGAAACCCAAGCTGCCTTTCAGCCCTGTTTGTGGATGAAACCAGGGGGACAGAGCAGGTGGAGATGGGCGGGTTTGGCCCATTCAAGGTGTGGGGAAGTGGTTTCTTTTTCACCTGGGAAAGATAGTGGCCCTTCGAAGCAGCCCATGTTTGGGTCCAGCAAGACTTTCGGTGCCCGAGGGCCACTGTTGGGGCCCCGGCACCTTGGGCCGGACTGATGGGTATTGGGAAGAGGGGAACAAAATCTTTCTCAAGGCGACAGGATTTTCTCCAGGGTGCCTGGCTCAGGTCCTCCAAACCTGTAAGCAGCATCGCCAAGTCACAAAATGTCGGGCTGGAGCTGCAGCCATGGGAGAGAAAAGGACTTGGCAATAGGTCGCTGTCCGTGGCAGGAATCCTGAAAGGCTTCCTGTTTAACATTTTAGTTGCATTAAAAAAAAGTCCCAGCCTCTCAGGCCCTGCGAGGATTCAGCGTGTGCCTATGTGACCCAGGGTGGCAGGGAGCGTTCTGTGTTGCCGAAGTCCCCTCCTCCACAGCAGCCATTTTCACAAGATCCCTGTGTTTGCTTGGCAAAATCCAGGATTGGAAAAACAAAAGGTTTTCCTGCCAGATTCCATTAATTTCAGTGGCAGCGGCAGCAGCAGCAGCAGCAGCAATCTGGTTCTTCGGATGAGGGTTTGACAAGAGCGTGAGGTTTGGGGATCTCGTGGGCTCCCACAAAGTGGATGTCCAGTGTCTGTCACTCCATCACTCCTCTCCCAGAAGGACGTGTGCCCAGGCAGCAAAGGGTGTGTGGTGTCAGATGTGGGTGGGGACAGGAGAGGGGCAAGGATCTGGGAGCAGTGACCATGTGGGGTAGTGCAGGGGGACCTCCTCTGACCCCACCCTGGGAAGGTCAGGGGTCACTCTTCACCTGCTGGGGCTGGAGCCTGGCCAAGGGCCGTGCTGGAATGTGACATTACAGGTCCCGAGGTGTGGGCTCCCTGGGGTCGCAGCACACAGCCTGGAAAGTGGGAGCTGCCTTCCCTCGAAGGTGACGCAGATGGAGAGGCCAGTGACCCCGCTGAGCAGCAACAGGGCTTGTGAATTTCCACAGGCTCCACGTGGGGTCAGCTTGTATGTGACCCTCCTGGAATTTTTTTTTTAAAGTGGGGATTGAATCCAGGGCCTTTATTTAGAGCTACATTCCCAGCCTCTTTAAATTTTAAAAAAATGTATACAGTATCTTGCTAAATTGTCCAGGCTGGGCCCAAATTTATGATCAAACTTATGCTCCTCCTGACTCGGCCTCCCAGAATACTGGGATTACAGGTGTTGTCACTATGCCTGGCTTGAAATTTTTATGAGGCATGCTGCAAACAGGCTGGGGGGAAAGGGAGCCTGAGATGCTTAAAGGGAGCCTGCTGGGGAAAGTCCTACAAGCTAAACCTGCAGTTAAATGACAGCGATGGACAAAGGGCTGTCTGATTGGCTTTTTATTTGTTCACATTCTTTGATAAATTTGCATTAAAGATGACCTGGGCAGAAATTCAATGGACCCGAGAGGACCTGTGAGTACGTGACCTGCGGCCAGTGTGACTGAGCTAAGCGGCTCCAAGTTTCTCCAGGAGGTCGGGGGACAGGTGGGTCAGAGGCCTGCAGCTGGGGTCCTGTGTCAAAGGTGAGCTGCTCACCCCCAGAAGAGAGTGCTGTTTGGTTAGATGGCAGCCAGGACGTACTGGGTAAGCGTGGCTCTGCCTGGGGGGCTGATGGTCTCAGCCGGCAGCAGTCGCTGCCCCTGCACCCCTGCCACTGACAGCCCTTCGCACAGCACTGGATGTCTGACCGCAGCGGTGGCTTAGGTGGCTGCTCAGGCAGCCTCACCGTCTGGAGTCCTTCCATGGGCAGTGCATCCCCTATGGTGTCACACTAAGTCTGCTGTCACTCCGAGAAGGAGGTGATCATTCTTGTTTTATGAGAGGTGAAAAGGAGACTTGATGACCTGAAATTTCCCAGAGTCACAGAAAGCAGAGATTTTAACCCAGATCTGTTTATGTTTGAGGGGACCTGGGTCTGAGTCTCCTCTACTCAAGCCCCAGATGGAGGCCTGGCATCTCTGTCCCACCAGGGGTCAGCGCTTGAGGCCAAGCCAGTGTCTTGGGCTCCTCCCCTGGCCCCAGCCTTCAAGGACGTAGGTTGTGTGTGTGTGTGTGTGTGTGTGTGTGTGTGTGTGTGTTGTGAGTATGTACATGTGCATGGATGTACACGTCCATCAGAACAAGATGCAGACTGAGATGGAGAGTTAGAGATAGAAGGAGAAGGAGAGATGCAGGAGGAGAGTGAGAGAGGGGAAGGGAGGGCAGGCATAGCAGCGGGATTCCTCGGGGCTGAGTACCTGGGAATTCCCGGTAAGTCGGTGGGAGGGCTCACAGCTCTTTCCTCATTCTTTCCTCCACTAAGGACCAAAAAGGAAGGGACAGAAACTATGAGGAAGCAGACGCCAGCTCACCACCTGGGGGGCCTTAGAATGACATGAAATTGTTTGACCTTTGCTGTCCAGGCTTTAACATATTTGCATGGAAGCCGATCACAGGAACTTTATTTATTTTGGATATTGAGATGCTTAACAAATATTCCTTGGCATGTTGACTGATAGCTTGAGATTATAAGCCATTGCCTGTTTAGTATTGCTCCTTTCGAGTTCATCTTTGGTAGCAGGACTCTGAAGTCTCTCTTGTGAACAGTCCTTCTAGGAAAAGACCTCTTTGTGCTTTGTAGTGGTGAGTCTGGCCCTTTGAGATGAATAAAAGTCCTGCGGGCCACACAGGTCGCGTATTATGGCAGAAACTGTCCCACCACGATGTAAGCTCCCTTAGCTAAAGACTTGGTCACTTTTATTCGTGGTTGTATATTTGGCCCACAGAGTAGTGCCTAAACTTGGGAGATGCTTAATAAAAACTGAGTGAATAAATTCCGAAGCTGCAGACCTGCAAGCCCCTTCTGTGGCCTGAATCGGGATGCACCTTGCTGCTGGAAGCACAAGGAGACACCACAACATTGACTCTTCGGTCCATATAATTTGACAGCCCACTGGGCTCTTTTCAAAACTGGCTAATCTTTTCCAAGTCCAGCCACAATATTGCTTGGTAAAAAATGCTTGGTGGAGAACTGAAAATTAAAATTCAGCTTTGTAGTCTGTTTAGCTGGAGAGATGGACACACACTCCTTCATGGTGAGATGATGTCAGTGGCACATCTCTGTGCCCTTTGGATGTTTCCATTGGTCACTTCATGTCCTGCCATCATGAGATAGCTTGTTCTGTGTGTCACTGGTTTTGTCACAGAACCTAGCTACTTAAATATTAACCTAGGCATTGCTCTGAAAGTTTTCTGTCGAAGTGGTTTATATCTACAGCCCGTCGACTTGAAGTAAAGGGAATCACTCTTGAAAATGTATCTGGGTTTCTCATTTAATGAGTTGAAGATCCTAAAAGAATGTGTTTCAAATGGTTTTCAGATCTTGAGTCTTCAGCATGAACTACAAACTTCAGAGTTGTCTGGCCTGTGGATTTTTTGCCGGTTTTGCCGAACTCATGAGCCAGCTCCTTGAAATTCTCTTTGCTGCGCCATGTGGGGTGAAGGACCACAATAGGATAAGAAAATAAAGAAGAGACAAAAGCGGGGGTCAGGTGGAGCCCTTACTCTCCAGATGGGAGGAAAGGAACTGCCTCCTCGCTGTAGGGGCATTTATTTATACACTTAACAACGCAGTATCATGTGATACCCCTTTGCCTAGCAACCCATCGCTTGGATTATCTAGGAGTGTGGTGTTCTTCTAGGCTGAAACAGCTCCTTCATGTGGCTTGCTTTGGGTGCTCTTTGTTTTTGGGACTGCCATGCATCAGCCCTGCACCTGTGCTCAATTTCCAGCTTCAACAGCTTCCTGTACTGCTGGTTCTGCTTCTTTGGAAAATCCTGATTGACATGAAGGGGTGTTTTATGTATGTCCTGTGAAATATTCATGCATAGTTCCATGGGGAGGGACTGAGTTATATTATTGCTTAATAATAATCATTGATCAATGCATTTTGATATTTATGAGAAAGGTATACTGAGCACTGTGCTATGTAGGAGCCAAAGAAGGAAAGAGGGTGGTTTTCCTGCCAAGGTATTTGCACTTCATTTCAGAAGTGTCACATCCCTATTTCCATCTCCCCTTGGG